GACGCGTCCATGGCGTGTCACTGGTCCATGGTGTGTCACTGGTCCATGGGTGTCACTGGTCCATGGCGTGTCCAGGCGTGTCACTAGTCCATGACGTGTCCACGGCGTCACTGGTCTAAGGTGTGTCCAGGTGTGTGAGCAGCCCGGACACGTCATGGACCAGTGAGACGCCTGGACACGCCATGGACCAGTGACACGCCTGGACACGCCATGGACCAGTGACACGCCTGGACACGTCATGGACCAGTGACACGCCTGGACACGTCATGGACCAGTGACACGCCATGGACACGTCATGGACCAGTGACACGCCTGGACACGCCATGGACCAGTGACACGCCTGGACACGTCATAGACCAGTGACACGCCTGGACACGCCACGCCTGGACACGCCACGCCTGGACACGCCATGGACCAGTGACACGCCTGGACACGCCACATCACTGGTCCATGGCATGTCCGGGCGTGTCACTGGTCCATGGCGTGTTTGGGCGTGTCACTGGTCTATGACGTGTCCAGGCGTGTCACTGGTTCATGACGTGTCCATGGCGTGTCACTGGTCAATGGCGTGTTACTGGTCCATGGCGTTTCCAGGCGTGTCACTGGTCCATGACGTGTCCACGGCGTGTCACTGGTCTAAGGTGTGTCCAGGTGTGAGCAGCCCGGACACGTCATGGACCAGTGAGACGCCTGGACACGTCATGGACCAGTGAGACGCCTGGACACGCCATGGACCAGTGACACGCCTGGACACGTCATGGACCAGTGACACGTCATGGACCAGTGACACGCCTGGACACGCCATGGACCAGTGAAACGCCATGGACCAGTGACACGCCTGGACACGCCATGGACCAGTGACACGCCTGGACACGTCATAGACCAGTGACACGCTTGGACACGCCACGCCTGGACACGCCATGGACCAGTGACACGCCACGCCGTGTCACTGGTCCATGGCGTGTCCGGGCGTGTCACTGGTCCATGGCGTGTACGGGCGTGTCACTGGTCCATGGCGTGTCCGGGCGTGTCACTGGTCCATGGCGTGTCACTGGTCCATGGCGTGTCCAGGCGTGTCACTGGTCCATGACGTGTCCACGGTGTGTCACAGGTCCATAGCGTGTTACTGGTCCACGGCGTGTCACTGGTCCATGGCTTGTCACTGGTCCATGGCGTGTCACTGGTCCATGACGTGTCCACGGTGTGTCACAGGTCCATGACGTGTCCACAACGTGTCACTGGTCCATGGCATGTCCGGGCGTGTCACTGGTCCATGACGTGTCCATGGCGTGTCACTGGTCCATGGCGTGTCCAGGCATGTCACTGGTCCATGACGTGTCCACGGCGTGTCCAGGTGTGAGCAGCCCGGACACGTCATGGACCAGTGAGTTGCCTGGACACGCCATGGACCAGTGACACGCCTGGACACGCCATGGACCAGTGACACGCCTGGACACGTCATGGACCAGTGACAAGCCATGGACACATCATGGACCAGTGACACGCCATGGACACGTCATGGACCAGTGACACGCCTGGACACGCCATGGACCAGTGAAACGCCATGGACCAGTGACACGCCTGGACACGCCATGGACACATCATGGACCAGTGACACGCCATGGACACGTCATGGACCAGTGACACGCCATGGACACGTCATGGACCAGTGACACGCCTGGACACGCCATGGACCAGTGAAACGCCATGGACCAGTGACACGCCTGGACACGCCATGGACCAGTGACACGCCTGGACACGCCATGGACCAGTGACACGCCTGGACACGTCATAGACCAGTGACACGCCTGGACACGCCACGCCTGGACACGCCACGCCTGGACACGCCACTGACCAGTGACACGGCACGCCATGTCACTGGTCCATGGCGTGTCCGGGTGTGTCACTGGTCCATGGCGTGTACGGGCGTGTCACTGGTCCATGGCGTGTCCGGGCGTGTCACTGGTCCATGGCGTGTCTAGGCGTGTCACTGGTCCATGGCGTGTCCAGGCGTGTCACTGGTCCATGACGTGTCCACGGCGTGTCACTGGTTCCATGGCGTGTCCGGGCGTGTCACTGGTCCATGACGTGTCCATGGCGTGTCCAGGCGTGTCACTGCTCCGTGACGTGTCCACGGCCTGTCACTGGTCCATGACGTGTCCATGGCGTGTCACTGGTCCATGACGTGTCCACAGTGTGTCACAGGTCCATGGCGTGTCCAGGCGTGTCACTGGTCCATGACGTGTGACCTGGACACGCCATGGACCAGTGACACGCCAAGGACTAGTGACACACCTGGACACGTCATGGACCAGTGACACGCCATGGACACATCATGGACCAGTGACACGCCATGGACACGTCATGGACCAGTGACACGCCTGGACACGCCATGGACCAGTGACACGCCATGGACCAGTGACACGCCTGGACACGTCATGGACCAGTGACACGCCTTGACGTGTCCGGGCGTGTCACTGGTTCATGGCGTGTCCAGGCGTGTCACTGGTCCATGGCGTGTCCAGGCGTGTCACTGGTCCATGGCGTGTCCAGGCGTGTCACTGGTCCATGACGTGTCCATGGCGTGTCCAGGCGTGTCACTGGTCCATGACGTGTCCAAGGCGTGTCACTGGTCCATGACGTGTCCATGGCGTGTCCAGGCGTGTCACTGGTCCATGACGTGTCCAAGGCGTGTCACTGGTCCATGGCGTGTCCGGGCGTATCACTGGTCCATGACGTGTCTGGGCATGTCACTGGTCCATGGCATGTCCAGGCGTGTCACTGGTCCATGACGTGTCTATGGCGTGTCCAGGTGTGTCACTGCTCCGTGACGTGTCACTGCTCCGTGACGTGTCCACGGCGTGTCACTGGTCCATGGCGTGTCCAGGCGTGTCACTGGTCCATGACGTGTCTGGGTGTGAGCAGCCTGGACACGCCATGGACCAGTGACACGCCTGGACACGCCACGGACCAATGACACGCCCGGACACGCCATGGACCAGTGACACGCCATGGACCAATGACACGCCTGGACACGCCATGGACCAGTGACACGCCTGGACACGTCATGGACCAGTGACACGTCATGGACCAGTGACACATCATGGACCAGTGACACGCCATGGACCAGTTACACTTCATGGACCAGTGACACGCCGTAAACACGCCATGGACCAGTGACACGCCTGGACACGTCATGGACCAGTGACACGTCATGGACCAGTGACACGCCATGGACCAGTGACACACCTTAGACCAGTGTCACACCTGGACACGCCTTAGACCAGTGACACACCTGGACACGCCTTAGACCAGTGACACACCTGGTGGGGAAGTGATTAGGAGTGGGCAAAATATATCGTAGACAATAATTTCGTGAACGCCAATTTGAAGATATGCTTTATTGTATTATCTTTTTTATTTTCCAATACATATTACAATTAGAGAAGGAAAGATGCCCATTGGTCTAATGTGTGCCTAAAAAGCCAATCACTGCTTTATTTGTACATTTCAGTAAATATTGAGCCTTTTTGGATGTGTTTTTTCTGTGTTTCTTGAATCTGATTTTTAATGTTAATATATGTTAGTGCATGTTTTGCAAAGATGTGTGTAGCACTTCAGAAAATAAAAAGCTTCATTTTTGATCTACACTGTCTCTTATCTATAGATTCCATGGCAAGCAAAACATTGCAGATCATTTTGTGTAACCATTTTTTATTTTAAAGATATCGTGACAATGTCGTTATCGGGAGTTGGGTATAAAGTATCAAGATATTTATTTTTGTCCATATCGCCCACCCCTAGATGTGATGCATGCTTGCAGATTGGCAGTTGAGTTCTGGTGGATACAGATATAGTTTGTGTGTGATTGACACGTCTCTGTTGGTAAGAGGCAGTTATGTCTGTAAACCTTTTGTTGCTTGATCTCATTTTCTTTTAGAATGGAGTGATTGTAGATGTACCATCTATTTAAGTGCAGGATAGAGACGGTGAAGCCAGTTGAAACTAGGAATAACTGGAATTCAGTGAAGGTATCAAGGGAATACATGACAAAGTTTGGCAGTAGACTGAAGAATAAGCTCTACACGTGTTTGCAGAGACAATTCAAACTCTTAAAAAAGCAATCCTCCATAGATTATTGATTATTATAATGATGTGCCTCAGTCTCTTTGGCCTCATTATCCATGTGTCCTTTCAGAACAGGTTATCCACACTGTATGTGTGTGTTGACCTGGCCTTACACACCATGTGTCCTTTCAGAACAGGTTTTCCACAGTGTATGTGTGTGCGGACCAGGCCTCACAGACCATGTGTCCTTTCAAACCAGGTTATACACAGTGTATGTGTGTGCGGACCAGGCACAGACCATGTGTCCTTTCAAACCAGGTTATACACAGTGTATGTGTGTGCGGACCAGGCCTCACAGACCATGTGTCCTTTCAAACCAGGTTATACACAGTGTATGTGTGTGCGGACCAGGCCTCACAGACCATGTGTCCTTTCAAACCAGGTTATACACAGTGTATGTGTGTGCGGACCAGGCCTCACAGACCATGTGTCCTTTCAAACCAGGTTATACACAGTGTATGTGTGTGCGGACCAGGCCTCACAGACCATGTGTCCTTTCAAACCAGGTTATACATAGTGTGTGTGTGTATGATGACATCACTGACCTTGTAAACCACACTGTCCTTATAGACCGTGTTTTTGAAAAGTCTTTACAAACCCCTGAAAAGTCTTGAAAACAGTCATTTTTTATATCTCAGTGCAGCAAAGGAAATCTTTAAATTTTAAGCCGTGTATAGGTTCTGTGATTTTTTTCATGATCATTGATATGATTTTCGAGGCTCTAGCACCACGGGAACCCAGTGTCCCCGTATACCTATGTACAGTCTGGTTTAAAGGGATTTTAGAAAAAATGTCCTTACAACGTCTCAAACGGGTATGTGTGTGTGTGTGTGTGTGTGTGTGTGTGTGTGTGTGCGTGCTGGACTATTTACTTTTTCTGTTGATTGAAAAGCACGGTGGCCCAGCCCGGTATGAAGCCTGGATCTCTGGTGAACCACAGCAGAACCAGCAGAGTGAAGATCATCAGAACACAAGCCTCTGCAAAGCTCATCCGGCCCAACTTCTTGTACTCATTTTTGATCACCTGATAGTCCTCTTTTTGACCTTTACTTTTTGTACAGCAACTAAATAATTCTTTAAAGCTGAAGATAAATGAAAAACGTTAAGGAACTGATAAAAGATAAAAAACTTGTATAGTGTGAGGCACCTACTTGAAGCCCACAAATAACACCTGCAGCCACAACCACGACAGCACCAGCGTCAGGACCATGTTCGGAAATGAGAAGCCGAACCAGCTAGCAAAGTTTATGATGCCGCCATTGTTTGGAAAGAGTCTGAGAATACAGTGAGAAAGATAACATTAATAAGATGATGCAATTTCCTCTTGTTTCTCTCTTGTGAGACGTGATAGATTTGTATTTACTTGTGTTGCAATCAACATCATAAAATTCTGTTTATTTTGTATCCTGTTCGTTTATTTTGACGACTCATTTTGTATGTGGCCAAGCTGCTGACCGGGGGACTGTTGATGTTCCCATAATATTGGGGTCACAAAATAAGACAAAATAAGACTTTATTTTGTATATTCATGTTTTGTACTAATAGTGAATGTTCCCCTCAAAATCCCAATGTTTTGAGTGAAGAACAATTAAATAAATAATAATAGATTTTATAAATATGATTAAGAATAGGAAATAGAGATAATACACTCAACAATGTACACTCTTTTTAGAAATATGCATAATCTGCTCCTGTGAGTTTCACTCGGTTGTTAATTGTCAGTCAATTTCTTTCTTTAGAACTGTATCTTATTTTGTATTATCTATAGTGAACTAGATTCAACCAATATATGCAAAATATATACTGGTTGAAAACACAATCATGCTCCTACTCAAAAGATAAACGTGTGGCCGCTTTAACTTATCTATTTTTGGATGGGTTTTGTACACAAATTTAGAAGTGACTGTACCAAACTATAATGATCCCAGACTCATGTCCGTCTCACCACTTCTTGCTCCTCACTTTGATTCCATTTAGTCTTACATAGTTTTGCACAAAAATGTTTCAAAACAGTGCTGAAAAGTGACCTATATACTTCGGGTCTACCTTTTACTTTTACTTAAGTACTGTATTGCAGGCAGTACTTGCTTGAGTACAGATTTTCAGACCTCTTTCCACTGATAGTCAGTGAGTAAGTGTGAGGGGCCGTACTCATCGATCTGGCCCTTCAGGATGACGTTGGGAGTGGTCCCAGTGAGCGTGGCAGTGCCTCCAATACTTGCAGAGTAACAGATAGCCAGGCTCATTCCTTTGGACAATCGAGAATACTTCTGCTCCCTTTTCGCTCTGCGCTCTTCAGCTTCTGCTCTTCTGGCACAACAATCTGAACAGAGACAAACAAAATTCAAGTAATATTTTATGTATCACTGCTATATTCTTGAATGTATTGGTTTGTTTGTACATACACGTATCGCCCTCCCCAGCATTTGGAACGTCTTTTCTGTTTTGGTGTTTAATTGCATCTGAAAAATAATTGAGTCATACAGGCCAACATGACGGCTCCTTTTAGAAAGTACATCATGAAACAAACTGTCAGTGAAGCCATTTTCTTGTAAATGCAGCACACTGTCCACGTCCGTTTTCTCCTCCTCCATTTGAAAGGTTGGGTTCTCTTCACCGTCACTGGCAGCCATCATCTCCCACTCTTTCTCCTCTGCTCGTGCCTCTGTGTCAGACAGCTGGTCCAGCACGGCCTTAGCGATGGGCAACATCATGGCAGTGGAGGCGGAGTTACTGATCCACATGGATAAGAATGCCGTCGTGCTCATGAACCCCACCATGAGACTGAAATACAAATGGCGTGATGAGAGGCAACCGAAAATGGGATGTAGGTTTGATTATAAAGATTGAGCCCATATAAGATAACAAACCATCCACACACCAAGCGCGCCAAGGGATTAATTATGTTCAATTTAATTCTCTTTATGAACAAACGATTCAAAAAGTTCAGTCTAATTCCTGTGATTTGTGAGTGCTTTGCAAAAGAGAGCTGTCAGAAAAATGCATTAGCTTATAGACGTGGCCCCAAGCAAAGAAGGAATGTTGTTATATTGGTTCCAAATTTGAATACACATGAATTCATTCTGCATGTATAAAGTTAAAATGGGTTTAAGATGAGCTTGGTAGGGAGTATACCTATGGCTGCAGGTGATTAGGTTTGTGCCCAGGATACAGTTCACTTCAGTCTCTGTCATTTGTTGTTTTGTTTTTTACTTTCTTTTTTAAACCGAAAACCCATTTTGGTTTGGATAGTGCATGTAAAAGAACACAGCTGATTGTATTACTGGGCTTGATTCCATCCGTTGTCCCACAGTCGCACACACGAACACAATCACCTTCTGAAATATGTTATGTTTTTAAGTGGTAGTAGAAACTGGAGTACACGGAAGAAACCTACACTGACACTGGGAGAACAGGACAGGATCTTTTGTCTGCATCTGTCAGTCTGTAGGCGGGATTGCACAAAAACTACTGGACGGATTGGGTTTGAATTGATGTGTAGAAGGGGTGGTGATGGTTGGAATTGTGTGAATGGGTTAATTCACACATTTCCAGATGATCTGTGGTGTTGGCAGGTTTGGCAGGGGAGCGCACGGTCAAGTTTGAAGTTTGTTTTGATCAGTTTGGGACAATTGTGATAGGTCCCACAGCGATCATGTGTGAATGGATCTTGTGGTTGTGATTAAATACTACTCAAGTGTTGGAGATTTTGACTTGTGTGTTTTTTTCGATGGATGCGGATCTAAAATACACATTGAAAATCAACTATATTGCCGCATTGGGGAAGTATTGTGACAACTGAAAGATAGTAGGGGACAAAAAATGACAAATAAGTGGTTTTGGCACTAGTTGCAATTATATTTTTTTATTACACCAGGCGTCTCAGGCATCTTTCATACTCTCTCTGTAAAACTATGTAAAACAAAAAAGTGAAAAGAATAATTTCTCACAAACTTACAGTGATGGTTTCACTCCTACAACAAGCAGGACCTGTAGGGCAATCCTCTTGTGCAGATTCCACTCTTCAACAGCGATGGCGACCACAAGTCCACCAATGAAAAGCATGTTGGAGTCTTTCAAGTACTGGATGCAGACCTGGGCTTGGACAAAACCGAACCAGAAAATACAAATACAAACTACAAACATAAAATACAATCAAATCATCAATCAGACAACAAGAACATACCTCATCTGATTCCATAATTTGCAACATGGGGAAAAGTATTACTGGCAACAGAGCGGTGATAGCCAGAGGGATGCACTCTGTGCACCAGTATAGTGCCATCAATATTATTACAAAGCCACATTTTCCTTCCTGCAATTTGAATTTATATCCACATTAAAGACGATTGTGATTTTCTACGCATACATACAATAATATACCAATCGAGCGGTTGAGTTCATAGTAATAAATGCTTCACCTGCAGCTTTTCTCAGATCTTTGAACTCTCCTAGGTTAACGTGCTCTTGCCTGAACTGTTTGAACTGATAATACACATTGTAATCTCACATATAGCTTTTAAAATGAAAAAAATAAAAAACAGCATATAAAATAATAAGGACTCTCTCTCATAATCGTTTATTATGCTAAGAAAAATGTACTTACATTTTCTATGGTTCATTACAAGAGGAAATAATATGACTGTTCTTACCGAAGTGGGAATGAGCAGCGGTAGAGGCAGAAGGAGAAGAGGTGTTAACACAATTATTATGTAATTTCTATATTTCCACAAATTTCTGCACAATCCAGAACACCCAGCCATGATCCAGGCAACACAAGGTATGTGAAGCAGCGGCACTATCTCTGACAGTAAAGCCGGTAGGCCTCTATCAGCAAACCTGATGTCACCACTGCGCAGATTAAAAATTAACCTGTTTTGTGGGACTGGAATTTTTAAGATGTTCAATAAATGCGGAAAGACATTATTAGATAGATTAGATTTTTAGAATATGCAAACTCCATGCAGAAAAGCCCAGGCTGATACGGGGTCGAACCATTTTGATATGAAGCATGACAATAAATATCACCCGTAATAATATCATCCTTAGTCCATAGGTGTGAAAATGTGAGCAAAGTCCAAAAGTTTGGACCTTAAAACAGCCATACCATACCCCTCATTTAACCTTATAAAGTCATTGGAGTCAGAGTCAGACCCCTCTGACCTTGTTTCAATAGCTCCAAACAGCTGCTGGATCCTTGAAACTGAATGATGCCCCAAATTCAGGAGAAGGATACAAAGAACAGTGTTATGGCAATCTTATAAATGATTATATCTGAAAGCCTTCATGTTCATTCATGGTCATCTCTAAACTATAATCTACAGCACTTTGTGTACTTTGATTTCCTGGTATCCAAGGATGAATCCCAATTGGTGGAAAAATGAGAGCACTGATCAGAATTGCGAATTCTGAAAATGAGCTGGGGTAATCTGAACGAGGGTCAACTATACTTCATACTCACACACAGACAAATCCTTATCGACAAGTAGCAAGAAGAAAGTCATTATTGATAGAAAGCCTGTGGTCTTTTTATTTATTTATTTTCCTCTAACTATCTTGATTAATCTGAAAATACTGCTGGAGGGAGCAGGAAGGTATATCCTGGCTTTGGCCAAACACAAAGCCAGTTTGACTTTCACCAGTCGTCTGTGCGTTGCTTTTCACTCGTTGTCATCTTGTCTTTTTCATAAGATAGATAAGATAAACCTTTATTAATCTCACAGTGGAGAAATTTCAGTGTCATCGTTGCGCACATTACAGCAGAGAGAGGAAATAAGAGCACTCAGATTGCACACATCAAATAAGTCTATTATTTAAAATAATAGACAATAAAATTAAGATAAAGAGTAAAATAAAATAAGATAAACTCTGGGGCTATAATTGCACTTGGTTCAGAAGCATATACAGATGTCTTTATTGTACTTTAGCAGCGTAGAATATGAGAATATGAATATGAACAGAATAAACATAAGAAATTATATCAACAGGTAAAGTGACTGGTGAAAGGCAGAATTATCAGATATGTAATAATACAGTAGTACTGATAACAGGTAAAGTGACTAGTGACAAAGTTACTATAGTGAATTATCAGTGACATTTTTACAGACAGGTTCCTGTTACACATTCTCGTTGTACAGTCTGACAGCAGCAGGAAGGAAGGACCTGCGAAACCTCTCCTTCACACATCGAGGGTGAATTAGTCTGTCACTGAAGCTGCTCTCCAGAGCAGAGAGAGTGTCCTGCAGGGGGCGACAGTCATGGTCCAGCATAGATGTTAGTTTGCTCAGGACCCTCCTGTCCCCCACCTGCTGCACTGTGTCCAAGGAACAGCCCAGGACTGAGCTGGACTTCCGGATGACCTTGTCCAGCTTCTTCCTGTCCCTCTCTGTGATGCTGCTGTTCCAGCAGACCACAGCGTACAAGAGGCTGATGCCACCACAGAGTCATAGAAGGTCTTCAGGAGTGGCCCCTGCACTCCAAAAGACCTGAGCCTCCTCAGCTGGTAGAGGCGGCTCTGGCCCTTCTTGAAGAGGGCGTCTGTGTTATGAGTCCAGTCCAGTTTGTGGTTCAGATGAACACCCAGGTACTTGTAAGAGTCCACTCTCTCAATTCCCTTTCCCTGGATGTTCACTGGAGCTGGAGCAGCAGAGTGGCGTCTGCGGAAATCCACCACCATCTCCTTGGTCTTCCCCGCGTTGATGAGGAGGTGGTTCCGCTGACACCAGTCCACAAAGTCCTGTATCACTCCTCTGTCCTCGTCCTCGGAGCTGAGTCCGATGAATAGCTCATGAATACAATGATAGATATATGGTCTATGGAAAACCTGAGATTTGAAGGGGTTGATCAATTTAATTTAAATCAAATTGAATGGGTTATGTCCATGTCCACACCGGCCCTGCTATAATATAATGCACAGCAAGATTCCGCTGCATCAGCACATGTGGTGTAGTAAGTAAGTAAGTAAGTAGTAAGTATTTATTTATATACCGCCTTTTCACTGCAGATCTGAGTCTCAAAGCGGTTTACAATTGTTAATTTTTTGGGCATTTGTCTCTCACTCCACACAGAGATGGGAGCGCGGTCGCCAGTACAGGAGGCGCATGCTAGAACTATTGGACATATTTTTAGTGGTAGGGGAAACCGGAGTACCCGGAGGAAACCTACGCAGACACGGGGAGAACATGTAAACTCCACTCAGAAAGGCCCTGGTCCGACCGGGATTCGAACCCAGGACCTTCTTGCTGAGAGGCGAGAGTGCTATCCACTCAGCCACCGTGCCGCCCGTGTAGTTCCCGACATCCCCAGTAGAGGTCACTCTCTCTACTCAAATGTCGTGCTCACTTCCCTGTTTATAGACCTCTCCATGGACCATGGATCGTGGAGCCATGGATCTGTGTGACGTGAACAAAGCAAGAGTCGGGCAGAAGTCACAGACAAACTTATAAAGAAGCGCTTTGACCATGGATGAAGACGACACCGCGGAACAGGCCCTGGGTCCTGGCCCTGGTCCTGGATCTGGATCCGAGGATCAAGAGACTTTAGTCACAGACGCTGCCCCCGAAGTCTCTGCTTGCTGCTCAAAGCCTCCGTTTTCATGTTTGCATCCTGTTACAGTTGAGCCAGTGCTGTTTTTATCCACGTTTTCAATAGCTTTACAAGGGCCTCTGTTCACGCAGTATTTATGGGACCGAATCAGTGAAGACGTGGGTTTCAACAGCACCAAGAGCCAAGAGTGCAACAGCTCTGTGCCGATCGACCCCACACAGAAGGTATGCTGTCTTTACTATCATGTTTACTGAACTCATTATATATCATTACTATTAGTAGCATATAAATAGTCTATATTATATCAGATATATAAGTAATTTAGTTTAATTTCCTAATAATTATGTGTGTGTTTTAGGAGGTGCAGACACTTGTTGCCCACTGGAATCTCTACATCAGTCTTGGAGGACTCTCCCTGGGGCTCCTGGTGGTGCCATTCCTGGGCTCCTGGAGTGACAAGGCTGGACGCAGGCCGCTCCTCATCTTCCCTAGCCTTGGATTAGCTCTCGAGACAATGGTTTATCTTATAGTTATGTACATGAGACTACCTGTGGGGTACTTTCTACTGGGAAGAATGCTGAGTGGCCTATCTGGTGATTTCAACTGCATCTTGGCCAGTAGCTTTGCATACATCGCTGACACCAGTGACAAAAGATCTCGTACCTTCAGAGTCGCTATCTTGGAAGCTTGTGTGGGACTCTCTGGGATGTTGGCAAGCATAATAGGAGGCAAGTGGATGAGAGCACACGGGTAAGAAAAACTAATAATCATAGTTTTAGTATATACAAAAAAGAGAATGTAATAAGTAAGGCAGGTCAAGGAACGCTTATTTGTATAGCACAATTCATAATCATAAATAATCACCGTGCATTAAAAAGAGTGACGATTCAATACTTCAGTTTTATGCACAATGACACAGAACTGTTTTTAGCCTTGATTTGAGCACAAGACTTCCAGATTTTAGCTGCATGAATCTGAAACACTGCCTCTTCATGTTTAGTCCTGACTATGGGCACCAGCAGGAGGCCAGTCTCTGTGCTCCTCAGAGTCCCAGCAGGAGGCCAGTCTCTGTGCTCCTCAGAGTCCCAGCAGGAGGCCAGTCCCTGTGCTCCTTAGAGTCCCAGCAGGAGGCCAGTCCCTGTGCTCCTCAGAGTCCCAGTTGGTTCATATGGGACTAACATGTCAGATATGTTCTGTGGTGCAAGGCCATGGAGAGACTTTTTGACAAGCTGAGCTGCTTTACAGTCTATTCTCTGAGCCATGGGAAGCCAGTGTAGTAATTCAGATTCATGTTGTGACATTTTCAGAATTTTTATCTAGAATATTTTGTTATTATTAAGACAATGCTATCATTTTCTGAAACCTATGGAAACAATGATACGTGTAATGATACTATTTGTAGGTTTTTTGCAAATTATGTAGGAATAATCAGGAATTTCATTGTGTTTAACTAATTATGTCCAAAATTTTTTCAGGTATATCAATCCATGCTGGCTCGTCCTGACTGCAAGACTGACTTCCGCTCTGTACAGTTACTTGTTTGTTTGTGAGTCGGTGAGGACGGACCCTGCTGTCAGGCTCTTTAGCACTTGCCACCACAAAGCCCTGTGGAGGCTGTACTCGACTGGGGGAGTTCAAAGCACCGGTTCTTCTCACAAATACAAACTGTGGCTGTATACATTGTGCTTCTTTGTGGTGGTAGGTGTCCACTCTGGCTGTAGAGAGCTGTATGTCTTGTTTGAGCTGAGTCCTCCGCTGTGTTGGGGCTCAGAGCTCATTGGTTATGGGTCTGCAGTGCTACATCTGGCCTACCTGAGCAGTCTGCTGGGGCTCAAGGTCATGATTCGCTGCCTGGAGGAGTCCTGGGTGGCTCTGCTGGGTCTGCTCTCCAACATCGCTGGCCTCTTGGTCTTCACTGCTGCAAACACCACGTCTCTCATGTTTACAGGTGCGTCCAGCTTAAATATATCAGAATCTGTGTAAGTTGCTTTTCAGTTATGTGCTCCATATACAAGTGAAACTCAGAAAATCGTTCAAAAGTTATTTTACTTTCAATGTGAAACTGATACGTGGCAGACTCATTGAGGGAAGATGTAATAATAATGCATACGTTTTTAGGGTTTTTTTTCATATAGTGCCTTTTTGGACACTCAAAGATGTTTCACATGTCATTATTCATTCACTCAATACACTGTGGTGATAAACTACGATTGTAGCCACAGCTGCCCTGGGGCACACTGACAGAGGCAAGGCAACCAGTATGTGCTATCGGCCCTTCCAACCACCACCAACCATTCATGCACACATCAGACTTATTCAGTATAACAAATAGCAAGAGGATTATGGCTCACAGCTTGTAAAACATTAGAATATTTTCATCATGATGGCATGTGTCAGTTTGCATCTAATAAGTTTATATCATATCTTTGTCAAATATATTTACTTTTGAACAATATTCTTTAGATTTTAACCTGTAATTTTAGTATTGATTCATTACTGCTTTACACTACATGACTTAAGATGTCTTTTAATGTTTTGCTTCTGTGTTTCTATCTTTCATCAGGCTACGGTCTCTTGCTCTTCTTTATGACAACTACCCCTGTGATTCGGTCAAAGCTGTCCAAGTTGGTGGATCCATTAGAACAAGGTCTGTCTTTTTCCTTCTCCCTCATCTGAAAGTAAATGTAACACAGTGGGGGTAATTATTTCTGCCATTTCTCCCTTTTACCAGGTGCACTCTTCGCTTCTATAGCTTGTGTGGAAACATTGTGTTTTATGGTTGGAAGCAGTGTCTTTAACTCGCTCTTCCCAGCCACATTGCACTTTATGAAGGGATTTCCTTTCCTATTTGGAGCCATCGCATTGCTAATCCCTGCCTTTATTATCTGGTAAGTCTTTCAAGGTTTAAATACAGCAATGTCAGACTATTTTGAATGTTTTTTTTCTGTTGATGTAGCGCCCTGAAGTGTCTGGACCAAAGACATGAGCGACAAAGCTGACTCAAAGGGAATGAATGAGGAAGTGATCAGCTGACCTGTGTGCCTATCGCAGAGATATGGACAATTTATCTATTTTTGACCATGTTTTAACCAATACTAATGTACCACTATTTTATCATACTGATTTTAGCTTACACTTGCCAACAAAATAGTAATTTTAGCATGAACTTATAAACACCTCAACTTTTATTCAGTCCTTTGCGGCCAAAGAGGGGGCGATTTCTCTACTGCATCAAGGCATCTTCTGTTTTTCCAAGTTAATGAAATAATATTGATTTTTATTTTATTTTTTTCCCTTATGCCAGAGCAGGCCGTTTGACCACAAAACACCAGATAGTCCCATTGTGCCATAGCAGTCACCGCACACACACAGAGGTCATGTTTTTGATGCTCGGTGAGGGAATTAAATGTTCACTAAATCTCTCAAAGTTTAGAGGTTAAAGTGGTTAAGTATTGAATTACCAAACCAGTTAACCCCAAATGCATTGTGAATTTTATGATGAATCAAAATAATGCCAAAACAGAGTATTCATAATTTATTTTACAGTGAAACCAGAAATTGTCTTTGGATACTTGAAAATGATATGTACATGTTCTTAAATCCACACCATGATAGCTGCTGTATTGTTTGGCCAGTGTTAATCGCAGTTCATTGTTGTTTGCAAACATTGTTCAATAAATTTGTATGGATAATAAAAAGTCTTGCAATGCACATATATATATATAGATACATATTAGTGTGTGTGTACATTGAAATTCAGAGTACTCGTCATAATAGGTGTTTTAGGTGGCTATGATTTGGTGACCGTTCACTGCAGCTGAAAACATATCTTAAACATGATAAAAATAAAACATTCATGTCAGTTGAAGTCCTTAAAATTACAAAATAAACTGTTATCGCTACACTACATAGCAGTGAGCTTGTGAAGGCAAAATAAAGATAGAAATCTTCCTGAGAACAGAAGGCATTAGCTGTTCCTGATTATAACAAAACCATTAGCTGCTTATAAGGGCACAATAATATTCTCATAAATCGTTCTCCAGAATTCCCAATTTTCATGCGTTTGAAATAAAGCCACGCCCATATTACAGCGAAAACAACATCCCCTCATTTTTTCTTTAAAGTTTTACTGCAGTCAGGACCATCAGTCTGGTCTTGGTTTCCCTTAAGAAAGCGGAGTATCTTCTCGATTGTGGCTTCCTGATATTCATGGGACCATCTGTAGGGAACAAATATGTTTAATTTAAGTATTTTTTATCCCGCCAAGGTAATAACAGATAATGACAAAATTAGCCTGACACATTAACTATAGCAATAGTTCTGTGTGGGATGTTTTAATGAAATTTAAAACCAGTCTTCCCAAATTGAACAGTACTTCACAGTAGTAATGTAGTATACAGTAACTTAATTGGCTGTTCCATGTCAAAGGCCCAGTCACTCACTTGATTCCATTGTAATTGAGGATGGATCTCATGTCCTCAGGCAACAAAGCTGGCTCTGGCCAAAGGAAATTATCAGTGACAGGAACAATATTTTTCTTGCAAGATAAAGCAGTGGAAATCTCCTAAAATATGGAACAATAATTAGTCAATATATTTGCAAAGGATCTGGTCTAGAAAACAAAAGTCCTGACCTTGTGCACCCAGTCCTTCGTGGCGGTGTCACCCATGCACTTATCCAGCGCATTAGCAGAGAGCACCAAGATAAAGTTGCGGGCACGTTGCACACTTTGGATAAGTTTATCTTCAAATTTGCCAGCCTCTAGCTTCTCCACATCTATGAAAACACTGTAGCCTCTGACTTGCAGATGCACTTTCAGAAGGCTGGTGGAAAAAGGGATTTATGACTTCTCAATCTCACAGTTGCAGCACATTATGGGGCGTACCTGGCCAGCTGGGAGCCCGTGGTCCTCCTGTAGCTGATAAACACATCAGGTCCTGCAGGTTGGGCGTCAGTGTCAGAGGACTTCAGTGGTTTTCTGCTCGCTGTCAGGATCTTGGCTCTGTGCACTCCATTGTAAATGTTACAGTCCTTCTCCAGGTGCAGGTCAGTCAGACACTGGACACTGGCGCGGTCCACCCCAGACTGCACTAGACCATAGGTGTACTGTCTGAAACGTGGGTCCACTACAGCAAGCCAGTCAGCCATGTTGTTTGGATCACAGGTGGAGTAGTTGGCATACATTTTGAGAACCTGTAGATCCCTTAGAAACCTAAACACAATTTTAAAAGAATATGTTGAATATGTTTGTTTAAAAAAACCGGCATGTCAAACTCAAGCTCGTGGGCCATATCCGGCTCGCAAGACCATTTTTAGTGCCCCCAAAATGATTTTCAATTGTCATTATTACAGTAACTTTCAGCACTGATCTTCAATTATATCTTTTTTATATTTGGCCCAGTGTTTATATTTGTGATTGATTACAAACCTACTAGAAAATAGTATCCAAACTCAAACTGAATTTGTTAAAATACAAAAATATGTCTTTGAACTAAAAATGAAGCACGTTACTTGCCTTTTGCGAGTGAGACTTGCTGTCATGCCAAGGTCAACGTTCAGATCCTGGTCTGTGATGGTCAGCAGTAAGTCCCCATCCACCTGCAGCTCCTACAGCGTAGAACATAGATATTATTATGAAACAAGCACATTTGTATTGAACAGGCACATGGTGCACTGTTTTAAACACCTGGAAGCGATCACAGAAGGCACTAAAGCCTATTTGCTGGAGCCATGTCTGTACTTCACATGTTTTCCAGTTGGGTACACAGGAAAGAATACGTTTTGGTACTTCCTCTCCCATCATTGTTAACGCCCGCTTGGCCAGGGTGCAGGTTGTACCATTGCTGGAATACATTACAATTCTCTTTAGGCTTTGTACTGCTCCAATTTCTTGAAATATCTGGGAGAAAAAACAGACACAATATTGGTTTGAAAAAAGGCATAAACATACAGGCCCAACTTATAGTAAGCAAAAGATTTTTACCCGAGTATTCCGCTGTCTGGACTTAATACTGGTCTCCACACATAGATAGAAGGCTGCGATACACTTTCCCTCTACTCTTGTGCCATCCAACAATGGCAGTAAGTGCTGCAAGTCAGAGGCTGTCCTTCCCTGCATGGAGTCGGCGCTGTCCTGTAAACTTCGGGCAAAGTCATCTGGATCTAAAGATGCGATGAACGGCTCCACTAGCTCCAAAGTTCCAGATTTCACGACTTCCTTCTCGATTTCTTTATTTGCAGCCAGCACTGCCACAGCGAGGCAAGCATGGAAGCGGATAAGTTCATCCTCTTTGGAAAAGGCCAGTGGGAAGAGCCACTCTGCTGCCTGCTTCTCGATCATCAGCCGCTGGCAGCGATGGCCTCCGTACATGGCACAGTTTGCCAAGGCCACGGCACAGTGTCGCAGCACAGTGGGGTCTGTGCCCCGGCACCAGAACAGGAGGGCATCCAGAGCCCCGTTTGAGATCAGGTGGACCGATGTTTCTTCTGTGTGTTTAAACATGTGCTCCAGGATCCCAGACACGCTGCGGGCCAACTGGGCATCCTCCTGCTGTCTGCTCAAGTTAAGAATCACTCCCAGCCCAATTCTGGCAACGTAATCTCTGCAAATCCAAAAACAATAACACAAGGTTTAATGATAAATATATTTTGAGTTGAAAAAGAATTCATGACTGTTCCTGCTTGTTACCTGTTTTCTGCTATGAGGATCTGCTCCAGGAGCTTGGCAGACTCATAGGTGATGTCCACAGCTGGGGTTTGTTGCAGCTGTAGCAGTAGCTCAAGACCTCCATTCAGCCTTATCCTGTTGCAAATCTCCTCGGCCACTTGTCGCCCAGTAGCTGGCAGGACCCATGCCTCCTCCACCAGCTGATAGATCTCAGCTATGGCCCTGCGCGTCTCGTCTAGATCACTGCTGTCCTTGGCGGTTCTGAGCCTGCTGATGGCAGAGCGCAGGTCGGGCAGGGTACTGTCTAACACCGCCTGCACGTCTGCATTAATCCCTGGAGAAACCGCTCTAGGCTCGTTCTTTTTGCCCAATCTGCTCACATAATCTGGCACGGTCAGTCTCTCTGAACTGAACATGATGATGGCAAGTTGTCGGTAAATGCGCCACAGGACCAGTGTCAGAGAGAATATCATTTACCGGAAGAAACAAGTGTAGAGAGGGGCCTGCTAATCCTCCTCCCGCCGTGCGTCCAGAGGCCTCGGCGTTAATCACAGGTGACAGCTTTCAGCAGACATTACCGCTATCTCCATCCACCAACACTGTGTCTGTTTACATTCACCGATGTGCCCTCACCTGCTGCAAGTAAATTCAACAAAATGCACTTGTCTTTGTCTTCGAGGAGTCTAAAAAGATCTGTCCCAAAAGGCGCTGTATCTTTGCCTTCTGTAAATGATTGTCGTGTTTTGAGTCTTTCATCTACGACAGTCTTCGTGGAGCAGAGCAGCAGCCGCGGAATGCACCGGGCAGAGAAGAGGATGAGGATGGACAATCACACCCGCACCCTGCCTGACCTCAGCATCATCAGCAACTCCGGCACCGCGCATGCGCACCACACACACAAGGCTTAAGGCCATGCATGTAAACAAGCGTCCCCTGCTGGAGAGGTTAGGCAATCATCATTCATGCTTTGTCTATTACTTCTGTCATAATATGTTGGTGAAATCACCTTTAAAGTAGGCAGTCACGTGTAATATTATCTCATATGGGCCTCTTCCAAGTTTCTCACTATTTTCCCACAGTTTTTTGAGTTGTTGCTTGCTGATGCAGGATGTTCTAAGGACAGTGATGATCTGGACATCTATGGACATTTGTTAACATATATGGACATTGGTCATCTCGCTCCCCATAGATAATGGCTCATATGTGTTTGCTATTATTGCATTTATTTGATTTTCTGTTCTGTTAAATCAGAAAAATCAGCGAATCGACAACTTTGTAAAGTCCTCCAAGACACAGCTGTTGTGATTGAGGGCTATACAAAATAACATTGACTTGAATTGAATCCACATTATATTTAGCTCGTAAATAGCTCTATTGCAGCATTTTCATTGATTTTTCTTTTCGTGTCCGTTTGTTTAACGTAGCAGAACAAGTTAGGAAATGAGATTAAAGCAAACAAGTGATCAGGGTGAGTGACACATGTTTCCAATGATTAGGAGCACACAGTCCATGATTACTCTCTCATTCTGTCTTCCACACAACAGACTCAACATGAGGCTGTGGGCCCTGCTGCTACTGCTGCCTCTGCTGGCTTTCTCATCAGCTTCTGAGGGTAAGTTTTTAAAATATAATATGGAAGATCAACTTCACTGCCACTGTAACTTTTGTACTTTTAGATGTATCTAAAAAAAAAAAAGGAAAAAGGCTATGCATTAAAACTGATACTCACATGAATAAGACAAATAAATTGCATCCAAGCTTACAACAACTGCTAATTATTAAATTTACTTTAGATTTCATATAATGCATGTTATGTTAGAACATTATTTATATAAAAAGTTGTCTTTTAGAGTCATGCATGGGTCGTTGTGAGAATGGCTTTGACTCGACAAGGAAATGTCAGTGTGATTCCATGTGCAAGTACTACAAAAGCTGCTGTTCGGACTTCGAAACTACTTGTGGAATGATGAGTAAGAAATGTCTTACTATATCCTCAGCTAACATTCAGTACCTGTGACCATTATCAAAAATGAAGGCCGAAAATCCCATTTTATAACATCAAGTTGCTTTCCATTTCATCTTCAGCACGAGGAGACACATTTGTCTTTGCAGAAGATGATGAGTTCTTTGAAACTACCACTCCAGCCCTTCCCCTAACCGCTCACAACCATGAATCGACGACCACCCGCCCCAAAGAGAGACCTACAAGACCTCCGAGACCTACAAGACCTAACAGACCAAGAAGACCCACAAAGCCCTCTTTCACAGACTTCAACCCCGGGCAAACGGATGCAGCCACAATACAGATGATTAAACCAGTGAAACCAGTGGAGCCATTGAACGAGGCCAATAGCACAGTGGCTCCAGCAGATGCCACAACAGGAGAGACCACCACTGCCTCACTCACCACGTCACCCCCAGACCCAGACGCTGAAGTGTGCAGTGGAAGACCGTTCGACTCTTTCATGCAACTCAAGAATGGCTCCATCTATGCATTCAGAGGTAAAATACATGATACCTTGAATAAAGAGAAGAGTGATGAATGTATTTCAATATCTCATAGTCATCTTTCACAATCACAGGAGACTACTTTTTTGTACTGGACCAGAAGGCAGTGCTACCCGGGTATCCAAAACTCATCAACGATGTGTGGGGCATCAGCGGACCCATCGATGCTGCTTTTACCAGAATGAATTGTCAGGGAAAGACCTACATCTTCAAGGTAATAAATAATTTGTTTTTTTGACATTTATAGCTGAGGTACCTAACTATTCCCCTCGATTAATTACACAGTACATGTTGTTTGCGCCAACATGTGCGGTATTACAATTGTGTAATCATTTTTGCCTACTTTGCTTGCTGATTGGCTGAGTGAGGGTGGTTCTCTATCTGACGAAGACGATCAAAAGATGTGACCAGAAAAAGTGAATAGAAGCAAACCGTTTTAGAGCCAGGAACTAAGACAGGCGTTATTACATTGTTACAGTATTTTGTGGCTTGAAAGATAGGTTCCCTGGCTTTAAATTATAGTACGAAATTTTTTTTTATTTTTTTTTTCTAAAGGGAAACAAGTACTGGAGGTTCGACAATGGCGTTCTTGATGAGGACTACCCAAGGGACATTAATGTAGGGTTTGACAAAATCCCTGATTATGTCAATGCTGCATTTTCACTGCCTGCTCCAGGGCATAACGGAAGAGAGAAAGTGTTCTTTTTTAAAGGTTTGTCTTCTGCTTACAACATTCAATCCACTCATTTCCACTATATGTGATCAAAATTACCAATGTAACTTATTATGAATTGTATTTTATCTATTTCTCATTCCAATAGGAGACCAATATTACACATATGAATTTGTGCACCAGCCCTCCCATCATGAGTGCATAGGCATGTCTGAGCTCTCACCACCCACCATGTTTAGACACTACACAGATGTCTATTACGGAAACTACGAGCAAGACTTCAGTGAGCTCTTCTCCGGCCGTGAGTCCTTTCTAAAACCTTTTTCATATTCAGCTCAAGTTTTTGGTTAGACTCATAGCCATTTCTCCTCAGAACCTCAGCATCATGACCACCACCACTTCATCGACAAGGACTGGAAGGGCCTCAAGTCTCCTGTGGACGCAGCGATGGCGGGCAGGATCTATATCACTCCTTTGAGGTTCACTTCGGGGCGAAATGACCGACAGCAGTGGAACCAGTACGGACAGCAGTGGAACCAGCAGTACGGTCGTCGCAGGCAGAACCGCTCTCCTTACTGGGACACTATGGCTGAGAGGGGCATGAGCATGGGCCAAGACTTTGCTCAGAGGGGTATGGAGATGGGGATGAGGTTAGCCGAGAGGAGAATGGAGATGGAGGAGAGGCTTGGGGGAGACTGGAACAGAGGATGGGACCAGGACTGGGACCGATATAATTCAAACAACAGAGGAAACTATGACTCCAGAAATTACCGGCCCTCAGATCCAATCCAGAAGCCTCAACCAATTCAGACGGTCTACTTCTTCAAAGGAGGTTTGACAATCTTTCTCTTAATCCACATGAGTTTTATCTCTCTGTCTGTCTGTCTGTCTGTATTTCTTTTTATCTATCTATTTATCTATCCACATATTTCTAAGGTGCATTCCTCAACTGTCCTGGTTTTGACCCGCTTTTTGTGAAGTACCTGTGAGATGTCACTCGGTTTGGTTTAAAGCATGTCAATTCTTTGACTATGCATGTTTAAACTTTTTACAGATATAACTTCCAAGTCAGATCCTTGTTTCAAATGAAAAAGAAAGAATTAATGACAAACTTTACAAATATCCAGGCAAAACAAAATCTAGATGAACACAAGCATAAACTTCTGCTATCAGGACAGAATGCAGTCAAGTCAAGTCAATGTATTTTTGTATGGTCCTAAATTACCACAGCAGTCGTCTCAAGGGAGTTGCCAACAACAGGAAATGCAATAATAATAAACAAACAAACAAAAGTGTGTTACATGTCCTTGTTTTGTACTATTTTTATTGTACAATGAAAAGTTTGTATTGAGTTCATAAGCTTCTTGCCTCAGCCCACTTCTTTTGAACAGAATTATTCCAGTTCAAATAATTTAAGAAACAGACAAACTTTAACTACATTGACAAAATGTTTTAATTTAAAGTTTATCTTTACCAACTAGTTTAACAAAATGCCAACTATATCTTCAATAAAGTAGTAATTATACCATTTTCAGTCACTGACAACAAACGTATTGTTGTACCTAAGGATATCTTCAGGAAATCTTACGCCTAATTTGATTAAACATCATGACATTTGTTTCACATGAAACCATTATACGGAGCATCTCGTTGTGAGTTAGTCACCATTCCCATGCTTCTGGTTCTCATTGAGTCATATACATGTTTTTCTTTTTTCCTCTAGATAAATACTACCGAGTGGACCTCAGGACTAAGAGAGTTGACCCAGCCAGGCCTCCTTATCCCAGATCTATCGCCAAGTATTGGCTCGGCTGTACTGATCCCACCGCCGCAGAGAAGTGACGGCCACTGAATCCAAGTTCTATCACGTAACATGAAACTGTATTTATCTAGTCTTTTGAACATGCTTCTACAATACACACATTTCATTTACACGGATATGGTATTTTGTGCAAGACTAAGTTTTAAGAGATCATAAATGTTTTGAAATCCTCTAGTGCAGATTAGGTAAACTAAAGTTCATAGCAGTCATGTGATAGCACAGGCCAAAGAGCACTGACAACAACCTTTAGTTAGCCATTAGGAAAGGTGTTTTTGCATGTACTCCAGGAAAACTCCAGCACATGTCACTCTAGATTTTCTTTATTAGCACAATGTTTTGGCAAATACATAAAACCAGATATACATGTGATAGTAATAAAAATGTCATTTCATATAAATCATGTTTTGTATATGTTCTATTTAATAAACGTGGAATGTAGACTCTGTTTTGTTTGTTTTGTGACCACAAGTCACATTGAGGATTTTGTCTGTAAACATTCCATTATTTATCAAATGTTCTGCTGAATTAAATGTTTTGGGAGAGGCGTATCTGTCATTAGTTATATATTTGAACTGGCACCATCCTCCTTCATGAAAATCATGACGATATAGTACTAGCCCTTTACTTTATTAGGTTATCAAAATGAAATGCAAATAGGCGTATAGACCCCAGCCTAAGTATACAATATGTCGTGGAATAAATACTATAAAATAAAAACAATAAATTAACATGCATTTAAGAGCATTTACAAAGGAAAGCTAAACACATACAGTAGCCTCAATGGATCAAACCCAGAATCATAAATGTTTTACCATAACATTTTCATAGCAGGGTTCTTCACAGTCTTTAGGCTTTGCCCTGTCATTTATCATCAGCTGACTGTGTGTGGTGCCTGCAGGTCCCACAGTCAGATAGTTGCTTTCACTTCTGTCCTGATTTGACTCTTCCTCGGCCCTCGCCACCTCCTGCACTGGGGCAACTTCTGGCACACTGTTTAAAATGAACGACAGGGGTCTCTTTGCACTCTCTGCTGATGTGGTCTGACTTCCTGTTTCTGTTTCTAAAGGGTTGTTTTGAATATGTTTCCTTCTGACTGGTTTACAGATGCTGGAGTCCACAGTGGGACTCTCCCCCTGCTCCCACAGATTCACTCGAGCACCCAGCTTCCTCCGAGGGGGTTTGGTGATGCCCTCTGCTCCTTTAGACTTGCCCATGTCTACACCCTGGTCTTTGTGTCGCTGCAGACTTCCTAGTCTTCTCAACATAGACTGGACTGGACCCTCAGAGCTGGTTTCAGCCTTTGACACAGGCCGCCCTGCTTTACCTACTGTCACATACACTGTGGTCACTTTACTGGAGGCAGTCATGTGACTGTCAGACGCAGAGGCGTGACACCGTTTATGAGCACTGGTGTTAAATGTGGTCTTGGCCTTGCCTTTTCTTCCTCTATTTTCATGCACAGTGCTACTAGATGTAGAGGTTTGGGTTATGTCCTGATCTTCATTCTGACCCTCCATTCCTAATTCTTGATCACGAACCATTACCTCCAAGCTACTGGCCTCAGCTCTGCTCTCGTCCCCAGTTTTTGATGCTTGCCCTTGTAAGGCTGAGACCATCAACACCCCCCAGCTGTTCTTGGCTTTAGTGCGTGTTAGTCCTGGTGTGACGGCCTCTTGACCAGATCCACGTCTCTCTTTGGGGCTGAAGCGTGTGCCCTCAGCAAAGGACACGGACGGCCGCTTGGCCTTGGCGAGGCTCGACGTCCGCGGGATGTTAAATGGTGAATTGATGTCTTCGCTGCTGAAGCCAGAAGGGTCCAAGAACATGTTGCATTTGGAGCTCATCTCTTGAAACTCATTGCTTGCCACTGCTGGAATGTCTGTCAAACAAAAGCATTTGACTGTCGCACTATTTTTACAATATGTCTTATTTGTCAGAACATTAAAAATACTAGATGATTTGTACTAACTAGGACAATATCTAAACTCATTTTGCATTTGTGGTTCTCCAATCGGGCCGATCACAGATACGAGCATCTTAGTTTTGGGTTGAACGATCACCAATCATGGCCAATAATGGTTTGATCATGATATTTATGAAACAAAAACATTCATATTTATTTTATAGTCATACATAAAATACTTCGAACCTAAAAGTACAGCAGTTTGTACCTTCTCTTGGGGGGACACAGTACAGGGCCTCTGCCTCCTCCTCATCACTCTCAAAGGACGAGCCTTCTGCTGCCCAGCCACAAGAGGGCGGCTCGATGAAGCTGTGGTTAAACGTCAGCTCTGGGTCATGATGTGACACTGTAAAAACGTTGTTAGATCAGTTCACATTATTAAGTTCATGTAAATACTAAAGGCCCTTAGAATTAAATGGTTATTCAATAGGTGTTGCTTTTCCATATAATATCAACATTTTATAGTATTTTATAGTAATAATCCTATTCAACTTCAAATCAGGCCCTCCAAACAATCTGATCCAGAATATAGACCATCCTCCTAACGCAGCTATTCTTCTAATTTTTATTCAGATTGAACATTGAGAGCCCTTGATGCTTTATTCATTAAAATTCATTTAAAACTGCTAGTCCTCTTCTTTTATTTAATTTTCTGTAATAAAATATTGAAACATCTTTAAAGGATGTCATACTTTCACTCATTATTATTGGCTTTGATAAGAACACAACGGTCCTGACCAGGATGGAGGTAGCTTTGTTGAATTCGGGCCAATTGACACTATTTCTGATTGCCACTTTTAAACTGCCACTTTTTTATGTACATAATATATCCTGTATTTAACATGTTTGCACATTTCCTGCCTTTTTTGCACAATCTGAGTGTTTCTATCCATGCCAAATGTGACATGTAAATTTCTCCTCCTTGTGAGATAAATAAAGAATATCTTATCTTATCTTATCTTATATTGATATGCTGAGGCAGTTATGATATGTGTTTGTTACACACTTCTCTGTCAAGTTTTGGATTACATCTGCGGTGCAAAGAAGATCAGCAAGGAGAGGGCGAGCTGTGCTGCGAAATTTCAAAATTTATATGAGTACTTACCAGTAACTCGGGGAAGACCAGAGGACCAATCAGAGACACAAGGCAGAGTAGCTCCTATGTTGGCTAAAACACTGTAGACATGATACTTAAGACGCACAGACAGTCCGCCCTCAGCCACAAGAGTCCTGCAGAAAGACGTTTGGATGAAGCTGTATGTCAGCATTGAGATTATATTAAAAGAATAATATACAAGACTTGTGAATGACCTGTCTTTGCTGTCTATTGGAGCCTCCCCACAACACACACAGCAGAGGACCACAAACAGGAGCAATAAGCAGAGAGGCACCAGCACAGCTGCGATCACAGCACCTTGCAAACCTTATAAAAACAAAACAAAAACTTTATTAGGTTCTATATTCAAAAAAATTTTGTGAAGATAGAAACATTTACTTTTGGGGCAGGCACCAGTGACAGGGTGGCAGTCAATCCCCTCCCCACAGTCACAAGGAGAGGAGCAGTTTAGCCCAAAATAAAAAGAAGCACAGCTGATGTTACAACTGAAAAACACATACAACAAAATATAATTATACTATTATGAACAAAGCTTCCTTTATGATCCAGCTAACTCACTTATCTCCTTGAAACCCCGGATCACAAATGCATTTCCCGGTGACTTGATGACAGCTCCCATTTTGACAGGGATCACACTGAAAGGCACAAGCGTCACCATATGTTCCACTGGAGCATGGTTTTTCACACCTGGTGATTATTTAAAGTTAGGCTTTGTGCTTGTAATATGAAATGTAAGGCAAGGCAAGGCAAGGCAAGGCAAGTTTATTTGTATAGCACAATTCATACACAAGGCAATTCAAAGTGCTGAAAAAAACAAGAAAGCATTAAAATCATAAATAATCACAGAACATTAAAAAGAAAGATAAAAATATAAAATCCCTCAGTTGTATGCACAGTTAAACAGAACTGTCTTTAACCTGGTTTTAAACATTGTCAGAGAGGAGGCCTGTCTCACATCTTCAGGAAGACTGTTCCAGGTTTTAGCAGCATGAATCTGAAAAGCAGCCTCCCCATGTTTAGTTCTGACTCTGGGCACTAACAGGAGTCCAGTCCCTGTGCTCCTCAGAGTCCGGGCTGGTTCATATGGGACTAACATGTCACTAATATAGTTTGGTGAGAGGCCATGGAGAGACTTGTAACAAGCAGAGCTGTTTTAAAGTCTATTCTCTGAGCCACAGGAAGCCAGTGCAGAGACCTGAGGACTGGACTAATGTGGTCGTACTTCCTGGTTCTAGTCAGGACTCGAGCTGCTGCATTTTGAATGTACTGCAGCTGTTTTACAGCCTGTTTGGACAGACCTGTGAGCAGGCCATTGCAGTAGTCTAACCTGTATGTAGCATATCATGTTTGTAGCTCCCTTATCTTAGTGTGTAGCATGTTTATAGCATGTGTTAAAGCACATCAGATAAACACAAATGAAGACAGGTTTCTTGTTACCTGGGCCCGGTCCAGCCGCTGTCACACCTCCAACAGAAGCCTGTTTGTGGGTCACAGGGCTCGTTCCTCCTGCAGCGTGGACATGTCAGCTTACAGCCATCACCATAGAAACCTGAGTGGCATGGGCTGTCACAGCGAGTGCCATTCCACCCCGGTGCACAGGCCACACAGGCGCCATCAGTCGTGGAGCAGTGTTCACCGTCTTTACAATGGCCACAACTAAGAGAGCAACATTAGTAAATTAGTAAAAGTAATCTTTCTATAAACGGCCACAAAGATGCTTTATAATTTCTTGTATTATTATTTCACTTTATACAGGGCTGTAAAATACTATAATAGCCACAGTTGCCCTGAGGCAGGCTAATGAAAGAAGGGCACAACCCTCAATGGAGTTGCTCAGTTTACTCTTAGTCCTCATACCTCTTAGTGCAGCCGCTGCCATAGGTGCCCGCGTCACAGCGCAGGTTGCAGTGTTCGCCCTTGTACCCAGGCTGGCACAGACAGAGGCCACTGGAAGGATCACATCTGCTGTGAGTGATGTCACAGTTACAGCGGCGGTCACAGCTGGGCCCCCACCAGCCCTCCTCACACTCACACACACCAGTGCGCTGGCTGCAGGGAGACATGTAGCAGTTACACGTCAGAGCACACTTCAGGCCCCAGAAGCCCCGGTGGCACTGGCAGCGCCCGCTGGCCTGCTCGCAGCTGGGCCGCACAGAGCCCCCGCTCACACACTGGCACGGTTTGGCACATGTGGGGGACCACCAGCCTTCGCCACAGCTGCAGTTGCCGTGGGCTGTGTCACAGTGACCGTGCCGGGCACATTTGCAGCTGTACTGGCACAGAGGCCCCCAGCGGTTTATGTTGCAGGTGCACTCCCCGGTCACAGGGTGGCATCGACCATTTGGAAAACAAGGACACACCTGTCGACAGTCTGACGCCCAGAACTCTCCAGGACAACCTGCAAACACCACGGGTCAAATGGGTCCACACGTTAGTACATGACATTCACAATAATACAGATCTGGCATAAAAGAGACATAAACAGGATGTTACTGACGTGTTTTACAGTGAGCTCCATAGAAACCAGGTGGACAGAGACATACTCCAGGATACACGCAGAGTTCCTCCTTCAGACAGGCCTGCTCGCCCTCGCACACCGCTGCGTGCAAGACAGAAACATGAATCAACACTAAACTCTTCACTGAACTGCAAACAATATAACGGCAGTTACGTTTTGTGCACTCTTCTCCTTCTCGTTGCCACCCAGTGCAACAGACCACAGTGGAGGGGTCCCTACGCCCAAAATATGAAGCTCAATGATTTGTAAAATAGCTTTCCTTCATCAAAACAATGAAAGTAGAAATATGATCATACCTAGGATTATGACAGACGTTTTTCCCAGCAGGATCCAGGTTGGAACATAAGGACAGCAAACAGCACACAGCAGTCACCAGACTTTGAACAAACAGCTTCATCTCAAATAATATGTTGTTATTTTGGATATATTCAAAATGGGAATCAAAAATAAGTATCTTTCTGTTCACCATCCACCCATCCCAGTTGTCCGGACCCTCTGGCGAGTTGTCTTGCAGCTCCAGTGCAATCCAAGGGGTCGAGGTTCCTCATTTCCTGGGGAAGTCAGGGCCCACTTCCTGCCATTCATTCAGATGAACAGCTTTTTAAAGATAGCCAAACACTACTGGTCTTTGCTCATGTAGGACCTCCAACTGGGTGGATAAACTTAAGCCTAAATTAAACAGGCATTGAAGAGGTTTTCTGGTGGAGGACCCATCAATCAAATCAATCAATCAATCAAATTTTATTTATAGAGCCCTTTACAACACACAAGGCAACCAAAGTGCTTTACAAAAAAAAAATAAAACCCACATAAAATCAGTTAAAAACATTCATACAACCACACAATAAAAAACGATAAAACCATTAGAAACTAAAGTGTCGCTGTGCTACTGAGTATTAAAAGCCAGTCTGAATAAATATGTCTTAAGTCTAGATTTAAAAAGGCCAAAGTCAGTGATTGTGCGTAGATCGGGGGGCAGCTTGTTCCAGAGCTTTGGTCCAGCAACTGAAAAGGAGCGATCACCCCAATGTTTGGACCGAGTCCTGGGCACTTCCAGTAAAAGCTGATTTGATGACCTCAGTGATCTGCCCGAGTCACGAACTGTTAGAAGTTCGGACAGGTATGAAGGGGCGAGACCATTGAGGGCTTTAAAAACAAAGAGAAGAATTTTAAAATCAACTCTAAAAGAAACTGGAAGCCAATGTAAAGAAAAAAGGACTGGGGTGATGTGTTCATGTCTGGGGGTGTTTGTTAAAAAACGAGCTGCAGCATTTTGCACCAACTGGAGACGATTAAGACATGACTGGGGGACTCCAAAATAAAGGACATTACAATAATCAATTCTAGAACTTATTAAAGCGTGGATGGTTTTCTCCAGGTCGGAGCCGTTGAAAAAAGGCTTAACCTTAGTTAAAATACGCAGCAGATAAAAACTCGACCTGACCACACTGTCAATCTGTTTCTCAAAACGATTGTTTTTCATTAGTTATTTGATTGCTTACTTCCACGGTGGTTGCCAACAGCGGTGAAAAGAAAAAGAAAAAGATTGAAGCAGATTTTCAAATTTGGGTTATTTATTTTGTGCACAGAGGGATGCTTTTCAATACTATCAATTATAAAAAATATATGATAATTGAGTGACTGTAATAAACATTTACATGAGTTCTATGTGATGACAGATCACATAGAACATCGATTGCCATTAAAAGCAGCCTTTATAATCTGACCCATTTTCAAAAGGAAGCACAAGAGATAGTTACACGTTTTGGCACCACAAAGGCCATCCTTCTCATCAAGGCCATGTGCAAATTTAAAACACTATATTTAAAACAATATAAAATAAATGTATATGTGTATGAATGTAAAATTTAAAATAACAATAATATGAATTCCATGAAATCATATTCTATTAACACGTCATATCAGAATGGAACTACAATGCCCTCTAGTGGAAGAATGATCATACTTTGTGAAATAATTCCTGATGACTCTGGTTGTTCTTTGGTTTTTTAACAGTGTCTTAAAGTAATTTATGACTAAATGAAATATTTTTTAAAATGCCGAACAAACACTACATTTGTTAATGATAAAAGTCCACGCATCCCTTTCAAATATAAAATTCAGTGCCCATAATACTGACTAAACTAAGTCAGACCCAGTTTGAATATGCAATGTCGCAGCAATAGTCCTTTTCCATTGAGCTTTGTTTTTGCTTGTTTGTGTTTCCCGCTCATTTTTCAGGTCTCACAGTTCTGTCTGTCTCAGGAAGGCGGATGCTGCTCGTCTCCATCGGCCTCTGCATCCCCGAGGATTTCCCAGGTGGAGGCGGAGCTGCTCATGTGGGCGGGGCTCTGAACACTGCCCGACCGTGTCAGGAAGCCAAAGCTGCAGCACAACAATTACATGGCAGAGATTTAGACCGAGAGATTAAAGCTATAAATAACTGTGTGTGAGGCCAGAGGCAGCATCAGTCATGTATGCACTGCTGCTACATTCAATAAACAGGGCGCTCCATAGAAATGCACTTTGACTCTGCATCTCACTCAGTCCTGAACCGTTATACTACAGTAATAAAGGGCCCAGGAAAAACAGGACTAGCACAATACTGAAGATTTTTTGCAGATTCAAATGTTGGATGATTCTCTTAAAACATGTGCAGTGAACCTTACTGTTTTTTTTTATGATTTTTAACTGTTTTAAAGCACTTTGGTTGCCTTAAGTGTTGTAAAGGGTTCTATAAATAAAATGGATTGATCGATTGACGTGCCTCTGGAAAGAATATTTTTCATTGCAAAAAATCTAGGACAGAGAGAGTAAAAAATAAATATATAAACAATTAAAGTTGTAATAAAAGAAGTTGCAATCTAACATGGGTTTTTATCTTCTTGTAACTGATGTGCTGTTTTTGATTCTCTGACCTGTTTTTATTGTCGAATTGAGTTGAATTAAATTTCTGACAAAGACATAGAGGCTCAAAGGTCTAAATGAATAAATAATTGAGAGTGAGGTGCTTTAAAATATTCATAATGTTTTAGAGTATTGTGTTAGAGTAGAATACACTTCATTGTCCCACGCAGGATATCTGTCTTGAGCTTAGTACAACAATTGCCACATAATGTCGTCACAGAAAAAACATTTAGAAACACATAATAAATACATTCAATAAAGAGATAAAAATACAAATATCCACAAACTAGAAGGTGTCTTTAGACTTCAATAATGGAATAGAGGTTGCTATAATTATTTCCAGTTCTTCCTGACGGCAACAACGGATTGCCAGGGTGATCATGGTCTCTCATGATCTTTGAGCCTTGTCTTTTGATGAGTGTTACTTCCTTCTCCTAACTAATATGCTGTTAGGATGCCTTCTTAGACCAGGCAGCTTTTACAGAGCCTTATGATTAACTCTAGCCCTGTATGTAATGATTGTTAGTCAGTATGCATTGTCTGTGTTATAAAAATATCTCTGAATATATGTAAAGACCTATACTACATTCCGACATCATTCAGTCACATGTTTCCTTCTACGACATGCATTCAATTTAGTTTCTAATCTAATTTTTTCCCCTCTTGGTTAAGAATCAGCCCCAATGAAATCCATACTGTGTCTAAGGACCTAATCTCATCTATAAAAGCACATTGAAACACTTACAAGTTTTTAATGCGCGACTCGGGCGGTTTATCAGAGTCCTCGTCCACAGCCCCGTCCACCTCCGACTGCCCAAACTCTGGTTCCTTGTCCTCGTCATCACTGAGAGAATATGAAAAAGGTGCATGTAAAGTCAAATTTATATGGTATTCTGTCTTTAGTGTATGTCTAATGTTGTGTTTTTGATACATTTGCTCTTAAAATGGTGCATAAACAGTCTGCAGTATGTGGAGTTAAAGGAGCTATACCCGTTTCTGCAAGGTTTGAATGTTTAGCACCGCCCCTCATCTCAAAAGCCTGTGAGCGAGGCGTGCTACGCTCTCATTCCACGGAGCCATCTAGTTTTCTTTGCGATCTATATGCTAACATTAGCAAGAGAGCAACTTCTTGTAAGCTGTACAACAATCAATGATGAAATGGTACAAAAGCAACGCACTGCTAACAAAATATATAACTAAATAACTGAAAGATTACCGCTAGTTTCACGTCTGAATGTAATCCGAGCATAGATAGTCCGAGCATAGATAGTCCGAGCATGGATAGTCCGAGCATGGATAGTCCGAGCATGGATAGTCCGAGCATGGATAGTCCGAGCATGGATAGTCCGAGCATGGATAGTCCGAGCATGGATAGTCCGAGCATGGATAGTCCGAGCATGGATAGTCCGAGCATGGATAGTCCGAGCATGGATAGTCCGAGCATGGATAGTCCGAGCATGGATAGTCCGAGCATGGATAGTCCGAGCATGGATAGTCCGAGCATGGATAGTCCGAGCATGGATAGTCCGAGCATGGATAGTCCGAGCATGGATAGTCCGAGCATGGATAGTCCGAGCATAGATAGTCCGAGGCGGTCCCGCAGGTCTCTCCCATAGACAAGTCTCTCCAGAGGATACGATGTAAGCTAGCTCTGTTCACCCGGTCTTGATTTCTTCTTTGATCATTTTTTCCCTTTAGTTCCCTCTTCTCTTCCTCACAGCAAGAGGAGTTATAGCCACTTATGCTAACATGCTACTGTGTTTAGCAGCGCTGTAGAGGCTAGAGGACGCAGCCTCGTTCTGTGATTGGAGGAGAACGGGCGTTACGCTAAAGTCTCTACTCAGCACTTTTATACGGCCTGAATTCATACACCGCTGAATCAATGAGCTCAAGTTTTCAATTAAATTACGGATTATAATACAACTTTTATGTAGTAATAAGCATTTTTATGAACTCATTAAAAAAAATCGGGTATAGCTTCATTAACAGATATATCTATAGATCAGGGCTTTTTACCCTAAATCTACCACAGTCATGTCTTTAATCTTTTACGTTTGAGTCCAGACCAAGTCCGATCCAGGCTCAGGTTTGGCAGAGCTATGTTGTTGAAGACTTGGATGTTTGATTTTCATACAAAAATCTCAACAGTAATCCTATCAAATCAGATCAAATGGTAAAAATGAAAAGTGAGCCAGTAAGAAACTTAATTTGCATAGTCGTGGATCAGTGTCTGAAATCTATGGTTTGAATATGTGCTCTAAAGTGCTACACAATCTTGTCCGACTGGTGTCTAAAAATGATAAACTTGTGAATAATGTGAGACCTGTTGTCATTCACTGGAATCCCAAGCATCTTGGCCTTGATAAGTTTTCTTTTTTTCTTTATTGCAGAGCGAACAGCTTCTAACAGAAAGCCAGGGCATCTCTCCTCGTTCAAAATCTCTCTTTTGGAGAAAAGGAAAAAAAGCACAATTAAATTGTCTCCTAAATCAGTTCAAACAAAGTGTGTGTACCTCTGGTAGTAGCTGAGCTCCTCCTGCAACAGAAAGAGGTTTGTCTTGAGCTCATTCCTCTCTACAATGATGTCCCGGACTTCCTTTTTGGTAAAGCAAGGCACATCAGGGTCTCTTTGGTCCTCACTTTTATTTGAATCAGGTGTTTGCTGTCTTGAACTAGACTGAAGGAAAAAAAAAACAGACAGTGGAGAGTTTAACATTTTATCTAGAGCCAAATCTGACTGTGATGATGAGTGAAGATAACATTCTGTACAGGGCTGCTGTTGGTCCGGTTCAGTTGCACAATAAGGTTTTCGATTTCTTTGCTCTTCTCCTTCAGGTCGGCCTCCAGGTCAGCCTTCCTCTCCACTGTGCTCTTGAGCTGGACCTGCATCACATTCTGCTTGTGTCGCAACTCTGCATTCATTTTCATAAACCGCTCCAGCTGTTCCTGAAGCTGCACAAACACAAAACATTTTATTTTATTAGGACACCTTACCTATGGCACCTATGTTTGTTTCCCGTTTGCATACAAGCAACGCAGAAGTGAAACAGGAACAAGTGAACTATTTGCATACGAGACAGAGAGCTGGACGTGAACAGTCTGAGCAGAAACATTCCACAAAACGCCAACAACTGGGCTATTTATTTAGGCCTTGGAAAAATGTGAAGTATCTATTAGGGCAAACAGAGTCTTGTTTGACCAAGAACATGCCTTTCACTATAAGCTGACCCTTAGTGTGAGTATAAATACAGTCACATGCAACCAAGGCACAAATACAGTGGCAGTAATCCTTGAGCTGGGGTACCTGGGTATTGAATATCAGGCAAATAAAACGATGTAAGAAAATACAGTTAGTTCCTGGCTCTAAAAAAAAGTTTGGTTCTATCACGATTTTTGGCCTAAGTCACATCTTTATATAATCTTTTTCAGACAGACAAATAGTGACTAATAGAGCTCTCTATTACAAATATGTGAAAGACACTGTAATGATTTTATCGTTACTCTTTTTAATGCACTGTGGCTATTTATTAAGGTTTTTAATGTATGTTTTCTAATATTTCTTGTGATCTTATTCTGTGTTTTTGATGCCCTGTGGTATTTTAATCGTTTTTTTGTTATGTTTATGTAGACTTTAATGTTTATGATTTATGCTTGATGTGATATGGGATGTGAGGCGCTTTGTGTTGCCTTGTGCAGCAACACCACTATACAAATAAAAGTTGGTGGATTTTGTGATAAGACAAATGCAGCAGTTTAAGGCCAAATTGTTTCAAAACATTCAACTTTTACAAGACTCTTTTTGTATCCCAGGTTTAATGCTGAAAAACAGGTCTCAGGGTGTTTTGTTTGTGGTAATCATGATTTGTGACTGTCTTTAGCAGTGTGTAATCAACCAGTAATAGACAATAGTCAGCTTACTGCTTCTCCTTCTTTAGAGATGGATGCGATCTCCTGCACTTTAGCTCTGAGCTCGTCACGCTGCTTATCCACCACACATTTTAACTTCAGCATCACCTCTCGCTCCTGCCGCTGGACACGGTCTGAAGGAGAGACACAGGCCTCTATTGAGTGGTTTGTATGAAACAGTGAAGACGGATGAAATAGAACAAATTACTTCCACTAATAACAACATGTCGAGAAATGTAGAGACTCGACAGATTGCACCTGTAACATGGTTTATATGATTTGTATCAATGTGTATAAGAACAGAAGATGTCATCAGAAGAGATAAATATGATGCATGCTTAAGATATAGATCCTGTAGTAACAATGTGGGTAAAACCAAGACGTTCAGTTCTTCAGATAAATAATAATATTTAGCAGTAAAGCAGACATATCGAGGTCCACAGTACAAAATATGCAGGTGAGATTCCACAAACAGTTGGATTGGCTTCACAGCATTAAGATAGCGTTTAAGGCAGATTTAAAGGAGAAGGTGAATGTGTAGTAATAATAATGTTTGCACCGTTCATACCTTCCTTTGCATGAGAGCCTTTGAGTCGGCTGTGCAGCTCCTCTCTGTCCTCCTGCAGCTGTTGCACTTGGGATTGCAACTCATCGCACCTTCTCTTCCATTGCTGCTGCTGCTCGAGATCCTCTTGCTTCAGAAAAAAAACACACAGATAATTGTACTAAACTTAAAGCTGGGCACCTTTTGACCTGTCCTGCTCCACCCAGAGGCTACTCCACCTCTGCTGCTGTGACCTGTCCTACTCCACCCAGAGGCTACTCCATCTCTGCTGTTGCGACCTGTCCTGCTCCACCCAGAGGCTACTCCACCTCTGCTGCTGTGACCTGTCCTGCTCCACCCAGAGGCTACTCCACCTCTGCTGCTGTCACCCGTCCTGCTCCACCCAGAGGCTACTCCACCTCTGCTGCTGTCACCCGTCCTGCTCCACCCAGAGGCTACTCCACCTCTGCTGCTGTGACCTGTCCTGCTCCACCCAGAGGCTACTCCACCTCTGCTGCTGCGACCCGTCCTGCTCCACCCAGAGGCTACTCCACCTCTGCTGCTGCGACCCATCCTGCTCCACCCAGAGGCTACTCCACCTATGCTGCTGTGGTCTAAAGGGCTGTTTCTGATTATTACTATTATTATGTTTTTAGAATGATAAATTTTCTTTTCCATTTTTGCTGCTACTGGACACCTGAATTTCTCCTACGGGGATCAATAAAGTATCTATCTCTCTATCTACCTTTCAAACCATAGAAAATTTGACTTTGTAGCTAATACACTTCATCTAACTAGTTGCTTTTCATGTGTGTTGCTTACAAATACAAGTGTTATTTGGCCTCGGACAGAAAAGTGAAAAAGAAGGCAAAAACCCTCACTCAGTCAATCAGCTCTCAGCCTGTCTCTTTGGGCTCTTTCTTATGCAAAATATAACGTGTTTCTCATAGGATGAAAGTGGCATGTTGTGGCCTTATTTGTTCAGAACACTTTTTTCTGCAGGGACAAAAACATTTTTACAGGATCAATCTAGAGAAAACAAGGAGCTATCCAAGCACTTCTAAACAAAATGTGAGCTGACTGTTTATGAGTGCATGGATAGTTCCTCGTTTCCAAGAGTAACCTTTCACCAATAAGGTTTGATTTATTGTAAAGCCTGCAGCATACAGCCACACCTTTTGTTTACTCTAAAAGAAAATATATTCATGAAACAAAAACAGCCACTCCAGTTTAAGCAATATTTTGTTTAAACGATGACTGCAGCTCGACTACGCCTTCAGAGCTCCAGAGAGAGTGTTTAGTTGAATGGTTGCAGATGTGACTATAATCTGAGGTCTGGAAGCATTGTAGTAGGGTTAAAGGTAGTTAAAGTTTGGGCTAGGGTTAGGAACAGATCATTTGGTTTGGATCGGGAAGCTCGATATAGAGATTCTAAACACATGTGGAACTCTCCTCGTCAGTATGAGGTGTAGAGTAAACTGCAGGTCAACTAGTGTGTTGTGTCTGGGGTTGTATGAAACTTGCACCTGTGACAGTGGGTGATGGTAATGGCAGCGCACAAAACGCACAAAGTACTAGTCATACAAATGGCGCCATGAAACTCGGGGCTCAGAGCACTCTTTACCCAATCCATTGAGTCAGTTCAGTGTTACGATGTGGGGCCACAGGGCGAGCCTTACCCCTCGGTGCTCTCTCGCCGCCTCTTCGTCTCTGGATGGCCGCTTCCTGTGCTGCTGGAGCTGGATCGTCTCAAATGTCTTGAGCAGCTCTTCTTCTTGTTGCTTGTGCGCATGGTTGTGCGAGGCGTACCTCTCCATAAGTTCAAGCACTTTCACTATTTTGGGCACAAGTCCCACTGCACTGTCTTTACCATAGGCGTCGATAAGTTTCTCCACTTCAGCACCAATGACTTTGGCCATTTCATAAACATCGTCCACGGTGAGGGTAGAAACGGTCTTGTCAAAGCAGCTGTCCGCGGGTTTCGCTTCTCTCGGTCCGGATGCCTCCATGTCGGACTCTCTGCTCACATGCCCTTTATGACGGGAACGATCGAACCACAGTGAATAGAAACTAGAGTGCAACACGCCCGCTGCTGCTCTGGGAGTTAGCCTGTGCTACAGCATAGACTGAACATACGCTCACGTTTCCGACTAAAGAGCGTCACAGCCTCTCTCTGCACGTCTCTGCATGCTCCAAAGTGCATGTCATACACGGCTCTATTACTACTCTATGACTGTTCAGTGCTCATCGTTGGTGCACACATAAAACCAGAACTATATCGTACCATTACAACTATTCAATGAAACATACAAAAATAGGAAAATTGTGACTTTATTTGAATCCAGGTTACAATATCAGCAGTACAGCTAAGTAGCACACATTGGGCAGTTCTGAAACTGCCCAATGTGTGAAAGTATGAATACACCATTACTCTTGTACAGAAACCTAGACAGAATTCTTTAACATGTCAAATGCCACAAATTTGGCATTTAATGCAACACTTGTACAAAAACACAAAAAACATATCGATAAGGTCTTTAAACATTAAAATTGCAGTTAAAATATCAACTGTTGCCTCATGATTAAGAAACGTATATACACAGTGGGACCTCTTGACATTCAACTTTCAGGCATACACGTCTTCCCGATCTGCATTGTAAATCTCTCCCTCCTGCAGTGAGGCGAAGTTTAAGAAGTGCGAGGGTCTGTGGACTTCATGGTAGAACTCTTTGGGGTTGGCCAGTTGCAGATCATATTTCATGTTGGGATCATGGCGCACACCTACAGTGACATAAGAGGGTTATTGCTAGGCTTGAATGAAGCACAGCAGTATAACTTACATGCATTTACACTTACCCATGAAGTTATAGTTCCAGGAGACCTGACCAGGAACCATGAAGAATCCCAGAAAGCGATCAGACAGCAGCATCTGTACCCTCTCATAGTGGGACGGCAGGTAACCCTTAGGATTGTTGCCCTTGTCAGTGTTCTGACGACCCCATTCATAGCCACTAGGCGTCAGCTTGTAGGCAGTCAGGGTGCAAGAGCCAGGAGTAAAGCTGTTTATGAAAAATAAGTGATCAACAAAATGTGCAATTAGAGAAGTTTTTTTTTTTAAATATAATATAATATATATATATCACTGTGCTTTAAGTTGCTCTTCATTCTGATATCAAACCAACAGTAATAACAGTAATGACTAATTCGATATTATATTCGAGCGGGAGCAGAAGCACACCTGCAGGTGATGATGATGGTCTTCTCTCCGTCCCATGAAGGGTTGTCTGCCATGACCTTAGCATGAGTGGTGACGTCCTGTGGGGACAGCTGAGGGGACTCGTTTGGCTGTGTGTGGACCCAACCCAAGGGCTCCATTTCCTGAGGGAAAATCATACGTTTGATTTATTATTTCAATGTTCTTTCCCTCATAGATTATTGAAGTGAAATGATTTACCTTCAAGTATTCATGTCCGGGAAGCTGGTTGGGCAGATGAACAGTCTGATGCGTTCCCCACTGTGGCACCATCACAATACAGCGGATCTCCTTCACTTGAGGGTTGTCTGGGGGACTTGTGCCGTACAAATACCCTGCGATCTGCACACCCAAAAAGGTCCAATAAGTCATTTATCTGGATGGTGGATTTGAAATGTAAAAATATGTAATAATTCCACACACCTGTGCTCGAAGATCAGAAATACAAATGAACTTTTTAAGGACATTTTTGGGCAGAATATATGTGTAGCCCGTCTCCTTGATGTCATCAGAGGAGACATAGATATGGTTTGTACGGAGGTGGAGGTTTGCAGCAGATATAGCCCTGACGAATTGAATATAGATGAATTAAAAAGGTCTTGAAATAAACTTTATTAGTACAACATTTTCACGATTTACAAAAGGTCCAATTTCGAACATACCTGACTCTCCACTCAGTCTTGGATGAGAAAGTCTGTGTTTCATAGTTTGAAGTGGTTGAAGTGATGATCTCGTCGCCATGTTTGTTAACCGTGCGAGTTTGTGTAGCAGTAAGCTGAGACTGCTCCTTCGTCTGCTTTTCAATCTCAGCTATTTGTTGACGCTGCTGCGAGGGTGCAGAGATCTCCATACCCAGGATAATGTCCCTGATCTCAGACTGGGTAAGGGATGCCACATTCACACTGGACAAAAGAAACAACTATGGTCTCACAACTTTGACTTTTAGGATTGTGCTTTAAATATTACATTTTAAACAACATACTTGTTCTTTTTGCCATAGTCCGCCAAGATGAGATCCTTGAGTTGGACTTCCACTTTAATCCACTCTTCGTCAGAAAGAGTAGGCCAGATGTGATGGGGCTCTGTGATTGTGGTTTTGTCAGGTTTGAGAATGACCTTGGCACGGTCATTGTTGACATGAAGTGCTCGGAGAATCAGGATTAGCCTGGAGAAGGCCTAGCAACGCAAAACAAAATAAGACCAAGAAATTCAATGAGCACAAATGAAGCTCCCCACACTGGGTTTGTCTCAAACCAGTAAAAAACAAAAACAAAAAACACCTGAAACTAATACAGCTCCTTACCGTGTATGAGGAGATGGTCTTCAGCCAGTCGTCATAGAGATTGAAGAGCACCATCTGGGGCTCTGTGGCCTTTAGAATCAAGTCTCCAAACTTCTCAACCTTTAGACAGGCTTGGAAAGGAAGTTGCAACTCTGAGCCTTTGATCACGATGTTGGGGAAGTCCAACAAGTGAACCTGCAAAGCAAACAGGTTAAAATCTGCAGTCCAGTCTGAGGCTTGTATAAATGTAATTAAAGTGTAATGAATTACCTCGAGAGGGTCAAGCATTCCTTTCCTCGTCACAATGATCTGTTTAGGTTGCTCCTCAACAGGAAGGGAACGAATCAGGGCAGCTACTTCTTCAGCAGTCTTCCACTTGGCAAGCTACACAAATGACAACATTGAACACATTTTAGACACATCCCAACCTAAAGTTGTCCTAAAAGTTGTTCTATGAAACCAACATAGCAGTACCTGGCCTAAACGTTTCTGACCAGCCCACACAGAGGTGTGAATGATCTTTAGGAAGAGTTGTCCAGTTCGGGGGTTGAAGATGAAAATGGCTCCATTGATGGGCTTTGTTGTCAAGTTTCCTTCAAAGGTCTATGGAGACAAAAATACTAAACTGTTAAATCTGGGCAGTAAAATGAATTAAAAGCTCCATATGAGTACGAACCTTGTGGATGGTGACACGATACACATTTGTGTCATCTACAAACCAGATGATCTGGTTGGAGAACAGTTCACCATAGTTCTGAGAGGACAAGTACGGCTCAGTGGGCTCAGAAGAGTACAGCTGCAGACCTTTGCGAATTCGCTCCCTCAGCACATACAGAGCAGGGTTGGCCTTCATGATCTTGGCCATGGCCTGTTGAATCAGAGGCTTGCTTCCAGGAAACCAGTTGCCATAGGCACTAAGAATAAAAATACACGTGTAAATTTGGTGAAGCTTTTTATTATATTACATTTATTTACATTTGTAATGAAACTTACCTGTGAAGATTGTAAGCAAGGTCAATGGCTATGAGCACTCCAGTGGGGGAAGGGTAGATACTCATGTTGTCTGTGGTGTAGTCCAGAAATTTGGCCCTGGCATAGCGCTCAATGTCGTGTGAGTCATAATCGCCCCAACGCAACTGAATGTCAATCCAGTACTTTTGTGTTGTGGTGCTGTCCATGACATCCCTAGAAAAAAATTACCAAGAGGAAAAAATTAGCATTTGTTAAAGGGATGTTTTACCCTTATGTTAAAAATCATACTTTGAGTCGGCCAGCAGGGACGGCCGAGAGACGTTCCACTTGTACGACGCAAACAGGAGGATGTCTGCACAAGATGAATTCATCTTGTAGGATTTCCTCGGGTGAATAGTCTCCTTCTGCACAGTTTCAATCTCAAGAGCATCGAGCTCTTGGTCAAACACCTGTTGACAAGAGACGTACATTAGAATTAAGAATTCATAAAATAAATTGCCATTAGGGTCATTTTGAAGGCTTACCTGACAGAGATCCATAACAATGCTTTCATGGATTTTCTGCCACAAGTGAGCTCTGAAAATCTGAATGAGGGAGATCTTCAGTGTCGGGATCTTGCCGTGCATGAAAATTCCGGTCAGGTCAAGTTGCACTTGGAAACCAACATACACCTAAAAAAAAAAAAAAAGAATAATGATTTATTCAGTGCAATTGTTTCACTAATACAAGACTTCAGAATCAAACAGCACATACATTGGCTCTGTTGATGGTGGGAGACCACCAAAGAGTGAATCGACGATTGGGGATTTGATTGAGACCAGATCTCTGAGCATTAGTCAGCTTCTTCCATTTCATTGACTCCTCAAAACCACTGGCCTTCTCCCTGAACGTCAAAGTAGAATTATTAAGAAATGTACTTTTATGTTGTCAAGCAATGTAGAAAACTTGGTCTGTAATTAGGCTCACCAGAAGAGACCTTCCCAAGTGGGAAAGTAGGTGCCTTTAAAGAGCGTGTGTTCCAGAATGCCCTCGACTCCACCCAGAGCTTGAATCATGTCTGTGCGGTAATTGTTGAGGTTCCACAGTTTCCCGTCATGTCTCTGGTGAGTCCACCAGAATGGATTCTGCTTCAGGACCTGTAACCAAGTAAGATAGATAAGTACATTTGAAACATTTGAAACATTTAGTAAACAAAAAAAAGACATATGATACGAATAAAAAATAAAAAAATAAAAGTACCTGGTACTGCTTGAAATCTGTTCGGACTCTCCAGCCCTTGTCATAAGCCAAAGTATGTCTGTCCTTTTGGAACAGAGTGTTGATTCGTGGAATTCCTCTGTCCCACGAGTCCTCCAAATCCTCCAATGTAAGTCGGCTGTAAGAAACACAATCTCACTCAATCTGAATATTCAACACATGTTTGCATACGGTATTTAGATCGGAGCCATACCGATTCTGTGCAATAGCCTCCTGTCTCTTGAGGGCATACTCAGCCCACACTC